TTGATTTCGTTCAGTGAACTGATGTTACTGCTACGTTTAGGACTTTGTGGGTTTTTTTTTATTACTGACAGAATTGTGTTTAGTTTCTTCTATATAGTTTTGTACATATTTGTGAATATTCATTAAGCTTTTTTTTTAGATTTTTAATTGTTATATTATTCCCCTCCCCCACAGAAAATGAATTGTATACATGGGGACTAGTTAGGACTTCGCAGAGTTTCTGAGGTATTATGGTGGATGGCGTAAGAATGGTAAGTAAGAATGAGTTGTTTTGGTGAAAGGAATATTGTTTGTATGTTTGGGTCAGTGTTTGCAGCTAGCTAAGTTTAATGTTAAGACAGAAGATGACTATCCTTTTTCCCTTTCTACTTTTTCGGCCTGTGTCACATTTGTACAAATTGTACAATAAATATTATCGTCATTCCCCACCCCACCCATTGTTAGGAGGATAGTGACAGCAGTTCCCTGATGGGGGCGGGGATCCTTTCGTTATTTTTATTTTTTTAAAACCCCGCATTGATTTCGTCCAGGGAACTGATGTTACTGCCACAGTGAGGGCTTGTGAGGGGCTTTATTACTAACAAAATTTTGTTTAGTTCCTTGTATATAGTTTTGTACACATTTGTAATTACTCATTGTTTTTTTTTTAATTTTTTAATTGCTATTTTATTCCCCTCCCCCCACAGAAAGTTAGGACTTCAGAGTTTCTGAGGTATTACGGTGTATAGATAAGAATGGTAAATAAGAATGTATTGTTTTGGAGAAAGAAATATTGTTTGTATGTTTGGGTCAGTGTTTCCGGCTAGCTAAGTTAAATGTTAAGACAGAAGAAAAGCATTCTTTTCCCCTTTTGGCCTTGTGCCACATTTGTACAATTAGTACAATAAAGATTATCGCCATTTCCCATCCCACCCATCGTTAGAAGAATAGTGATAGCAGTTCCCTGGTGGGTGCAGGCGCGTTTCGTTTCGGGTGTGATTTTCGTAACTGTTGTTGTGTTTGAATGAGTCTGTGTTTAAATGAGTGCATGGGTTGTATAAATGTTTTATATTTTTTAAGTCCCCCATTGATTCAGTCCAATTAACTATTGTTTCTGCCACATTTATTTATTAGTTTATTACTAACACTATTTTGTTTAGTTTCTTGCATATACTTTTTGTACACATTTGTAACTACTCATTAGGGTTAGATTTTAAAATTGTTATTTTATTCCCCTCCCCCCACAGAGAATGAATTGTACATATAGGGACTAGTTAAGACTTAGTAGGCATTCCGAGATATTATGGTGGATGAGGTAAGAATGGCAAGTAAGAATGCGTTGTTTTGATGGAAGGAATATTGTTTGTATTTTTGGGTCAGTGTTTGTGGCTAGTTAAGTTTTACGGTAAGAATACCATCCTTTTCCTCATTTCCCTTTTTGGCCTTGTGCCACATTTGTACTTCATGTACAATAAATATTATAGCCATTCCTAGTCTATCATCTATTACTCTTTGGATCTGCATTTCTAGTCTATCCTCTATAATATACGGACCGCTTTTCTTTATTGTATTCACTGTACTATTTTTCTATTCAGATCACTATACGGATTACTGTTCGAGCGAATATTATCGAGCAAGTACTATTAGTACAGGTGTTATTCGAAGGCGTCTGACACCAGTATTGTTCAACGGCGTTACTATAGTCGTAGCTGCAATTACAAAGTCTCTACTACAACGAGCATTACGAAAGTGACAACAAGTGTTCGTTGACATCACAAAACAATATATTTTCTAGCTTTAAATAACATGCAATTGCTTATAAGCTGTAAAAAAAAAGAAGCAAACCAAGCGATCATTTTGTACTCCCACTCTTAGAAAGATCTTTCTAATAGGTACATTAAAATATAACTTGTCTTCTGTAAAAGGCAATCGTCGCCAACTGCAATGTTGCTGCCCTTCCCTGTATACAAACCAATTCAAAAAAAAGTAATTTTTTTTTATTATGGGTATGAATAAAGACTAAATTTCTTACACCCCCAAAAGTTAACAAGCTTAAGAGTATTCTGAGAATGACCCAAAAATACATTGTGCTATTTTTAACATAACGAAACCCATTTGTTATTTATTTAAATTGTGAACTTCTCATCTTCCCAAGAGTCAATTATCTTTAATATAGTAGGCGAAAAAATATTCCTTAAAGAAAGCGTAATCCTAAGCAAGGTAATAAAGTCATTAAAAACGCAATGCGGCTACTGAGTCTGAATGACTATGAGAAAAAGTAAAACATCTTTAAGGAACAATAAAAGAAGAGGTTTTAAGGAGATAAGAGATAACAATTGAAATTGCATTTAAAATTTTGAATACCAAATTTAGATGGAAAGCAAGAAGCGGGGTAAAGTTCCACAAGTGAAAAATGAGAGAAAAGAAAATGTTAGCGTAGATATTACAGTTACATCTCGCCATCTCCAATGTAAAATGGCGAAATCTTGCCTCAAACTTAGTATTAAGCTTCAATTCGCTGTTGTTTTTATACAGTATGAGGCTTTCTGGAATATTCTAGAATACTCTAGATTTAATTTAAGCTGTTCTAGAATTCTCTAGAATATTGTTCTGAGTGTATTGTAAAATAGTTTTCAATATTCTGTCAAAAGCTCTTTAAATTTACCAGTTTTTAATCATTAGAATGCGATATCTGAGTTCCGTTTTTTGCACAGAGTTTTTTCCTGAATCCCATTTATATCCAAATTTATAATTATCAATAGAATACCTTAGGGTAAATAAACTTTTTTCCTAGGTGGTCGGGAAGAGGTCTTTATATTAGTAAGATTAATAATTATTTTAGCCCCCAAAACAATAGACAATAATATTTTTAGTAAAAAAATCAGGCGAGTCACTTTTATCGAACAGCACCGTAGAGACTCAGTTATAAGAGGGACAGACAAGCAAAGATACTCCAGATGAGTCCAGATAATTTACCCCCAAAAAACATTATTTGTCAGCAGATGTTAACACCCCAAATTGTGTAAAGAGAGGATGTATAGAAGATTTATACTTATTTAAGACATTGTTAGCCGCCACTAGTCACGAGAACCAAATATATAGCATTACATATTAGAGGAAGATTTGATTTATTTAAGTATTCCGCTCTATGTATGAGTATTTTATAAACCTTTCTTCTTTGTTTTCCCGTTTTTGATACCTTCTCTAATTACGACCTTCCTAATTCTCGGCTATTTTGACAACTTTACAACAAATACCATGCTTCCTCACGCAAGATGGTTAATTGTTTCTGGATATTCGTATAGAATCTGCATTGGGGTTAACAGTTTTTTCAGTACTTTGGCTTAATTTTTGTCATTTTATCCAAGGATTCCAGAAATTTCTGTCTGGATTTTTGGGACGAGGAGTTATTTACACTGTTCCCTTGCAGACTTTGCTGCACATCTTTGTTGTTGTTATCACCTGGTCGCATTCTGTCCGAATTTCTGGGATGAGAAGTTATCCTTATTTACCTGCACACTATTGTCCTTATCTTTGCTGTTGTTTCGGCCCTTGTGACCTCTGACCTTCATCAAGTATATGTTGATCCGGATAACGTTCAGTGAATTCCGAAATGAGCCCTTTATTCAATCTACTGAGTTAGACTGTTCTCGTTCCTCTGGATATCTAGGTATATCTCGTTTAGTTCTTAATTTTTGTACTACTCATTAATTTCAGGCTTTGTTTTCACTGATCTCAAATACATATTGCCCAACACATGGATTAAATTCATAATCACTGTCTCCAAAATATTGAACCGTTGCTTTAACTGTCTATTGTTTTGTATGTTATTGTTTTTTTTGTAGTCACTGTACGAGGTTGGATAAAAATCAATTAATTAAACTATATGATTATTTTTCTAAGCGTAGCCTTGATCTGGCGCAAGGCGTAAAGTATGGAACACCTGGTAAGAATCGAACTCACTATTCAGTCGAAACTGTTAATGAAACTACACGGTGTCCAGAAAAAAGCGATAAATTTATTTTTCGACAAAATACACTCAGCCCTCTAAAAAAAACCATGCGAGTGTTATTGATTACTGTATCTGGAGTATACCCCTAACTCACTTGCAACAACCGTCTTCGTGACATCATCGATATTGATTCGTTGAAGTGGACCTTAACTGAAGTATGGAATGAAATTCCTCTTGACAAAGCCTACTGGCTACCAAGCTGACCACTTTGTGTTGAACATTCAGGCAAACATTTCGAACATCTACGATGATTGTTTAGTTGGTGCATGAATCCTGATAGCTAAATAAATTTCTCTCTGAATTTATATCTTTTTTTTTCTGGTCAGCCCGTATATGACTAAATTTGAATATCGAGCGGGTTGTCACACCTCCAGGTAAAGGATATGGGATATGAGATCAAATCTCACCGGAAGATTTTTTTTTCTTAAATTTCCCAGTTAATGCAGCCTGATTGGATATGGTAAATTCTAAGAACCACATTAGTTCCTCGAAAAACATATAGAATAATAAGCGAAAATAAAATGTCAGAAATATTCTCACCTAAAAAATGAACGAAGGGGGAGAAGGGCTACAGGGATCTGATATCGTAACCTACTGAAATTTGCATTGATTTGAATGCCAATAATTGTTAATCTTTGGCGAAGTAGCCATTGGAAACAACGATCAAATATCCGAGTAAAGAAGAGAATTGCTTAAATAACTGCTTTGTCGAGACAATAGGAATATCAATGAATACATTCAGATTTGAAACAGATCAGAACAATTCCTTGCATGACCAGATGGCAAGAGTAATTGATTAGTTAATTAATTTGAATAAAGAAGAATGAAGATTTTTATCAGCGGACGCTAATATGAAGATTTTAATTGCATTAATTGTTGCCAAAAAATGCCCACTGGCTTTGGAATATTAATTTAGTTCAGTAGAAATGCTTTGGCAAAAGACACAGTTTCTAGGACGTTTTATTTCGAAGAAGTATTTAATCAGTTATTGGTTATCGATTTTACTTAGAACCGACGCGAGGAAAAACACAGCGGTTCTATCTGCATATATTTGTCTCCAGTTCTCCTCCTCCTCCTCCTCCTCCCCCTCTCTCTTTCTCTCTCACTCTTTATCTCACCTGCTTCTATTACTGTCTTTCTCTGCCATTCTTAGTAATTCCTTCCATTTTTCTTCTTTCTCCTTCTCGCTTTCTCACGCTCCCCCTCACTTTTTTCTGTCTGTCTCCCATTTCTCGTTCTCTCTCTTCTGTCTCTCTTTTTCTCTCTTCTCTCTGTCTTTCTCTATTTTCCTCTCTCTGTCACTCTTCCCCCTCTCTTTCTTTATATCCCCTTCTTGTTCTTTATCTCTGTCCTTTTTCTTTCTTTCTTTTTCTCTCTTTTCCTTTCTCTGTCTCTCTCTCTCTCTCTTTCTCACACTTCCTCTTTCTCTCTATTTTCTCTCTCTTTCTCTCTATTTTCTTCTCTATTCTCTCCCCCTTTCTCGCTCTTCTCTATCATTTTCTCTGTCCTAACTCTCCCTTTCTCTCTTTCCCTCTCATTCTCTTACCCTCCATTTATTCTCTCCCTCCATATATATATATATTCTCTCTGTTTCTATTTCTGTATCTCTTTCTCTATCTTCTTCTTTCTTTTCCTCTCTTCACTCTCTCTCTCTTTCTCTCTCTCTGTTGTCTCCCTTTCTCTCTCACCTTTTCTTTCAAGTTTTTCCTTCTCTCTTTCACTTTCACTCTTTCTATTCTCTCTCTCTCTCTCTCGCCATTTTTCTATCTTCCTTTCTCTAATTCTCTCACTTTTCTCCCTTTCTCTGTCCTTCTTACTCTCTTTATCTCTCTCACTTTTTCCCTCTCTAGTCTCTCTTTCTCTCTCTTCCTCTCTCTTATTCTCTTTCAATTATATGGATTCTCTTTTTATTCTCGTTTTTTCCATTCTTATGTCAATAATTTGTACACATTCTCTTCCATTCTGCATTCTTCTATTCAGGATTATTTTTCATCTTTTAATTCTCAGTACCTATCTATATTTCTGAGATGAGGTATTTTGTACATTATTTACATAAAATTGCAATATGAGCACTGGTAAAAATGGTGCTGAAGACATTAGGTTTTTCATTAGGTTTATAATACCCAGAAATCCATGTACAAATGTCCTCAAGTACACATGGCACAGTGAATAAAAGCGTTAGTTAGATCCAGCAACAGGACACAAAGAGTGTGAGTTCAATACCCGGTTAAGGCAGTGGAGAACTTTCAGAGAGAAATTAACAGGAGATAACAGACACCCTTTCTCTTAAGATTTTTTTCTTCTCTCTTTCTATGAAACTAGAACAGTCTACCCCAGTGAGCGGAATAAAGGGTTCAGTTCGGCATTCCAACCACCTGAAGAAGGCTGGAGCGTACAACGCCCGAAACGTTGTAATAAATATGTCCACAAAGATAAGGACAATAGTCCGAATAATGTCAATAGAAAAAATAATAATATAAATTGTGATTTCAGACTAAAATACTTGGAGTTTATGAAGCCATTATTTCAATAAACAATAAAATAATGCAAAAACTATCAATTGAATAAGATGAACACTAGTATAAAATTTGATAAATATGACATTAGTTAAGCAAAATAAGTAAGTAAAAATGAGTTAAATGATTATCCAGTTGCTTGTACAAATACAAACACAAATTAATAAAATCCCGCTCACTGTAGGAAAAGTTAAAAGAAATCATAATGAGCAATAATGCTTCAAATAATAATAATAATAATAATAATGGGAAGGAAACTGAAAGAAACTGGTATGAACACCACCCCGAGCCGGTTACGGAGATAGGACCTGTTACAATTCTATGGGACTACACAATACACACTGACAGAACAATCAAGGACAACCACCCAGATATTGTTATTAAAGACCACAAACAAAAACGGTGCCTCCTTATTGATATGGCAGTCCCTGCTGACTGCAATGTATCTTTGAAGATATTCAAAAAGTTGTCAAAATACAAGGACCTTGAAATAGAAATCTCGAAAATGTGGCATATGGGAACATCAACAATCCCTGTTGTAGTTGGAGCCCTAGGACTGATTGGAAAAGATTGCAGTAGACTAATTGAAGGGATACCTGGAAGTCCATGCCTCAAGGAGGTACCTTAAATTGTTCTGACAAGTACAGCCCACACCTTACGAAGGGCTTTATCTATGTAATTTTTTTTTTTTTTTTTGTCAGTGGAAAGTGTCATGACGCCATTTCTAACCTTATGTCCCTGGGCGGGACCCGGAAAGAAATGTGTAAACGCCAGAAATCAAAGAAAATAAAAATAATAATAATAATAATATTAATATATGTAGTAAATTAAAATAAGAAATAATAATTGAAATTATATTAAATTATTATATTACTTTTTTTAAGCAATATTTACGTTTTTCAGTTAAACCGAAAATCCGCTCTTTTTGGACCTTCGAAAAGACGTTGTATTAAATATGGCGACAAACATGAGGACAATAGTCCGAATAATTTAAATAATGTTTTTAATTCTCATTTGATGCTTACAGCCTTTCAGATTCTTTCTTTTCGCTTCTACATCTCCAACTGTTATTCTTTTTCCTTTACTTTTCCCTTTAAACTAAGACATTTCTCTCTCTCTCTCTATCACACTCTCTCTCTATCTCTCTCTATCTCTCTCTTTCTATCGCTCTCTTTATTTCTCTACTCTTTCTATTTTTTCTTCCTCAGTTTTTCATCCCTTTTTCTCATTGTCTATTCATTATCTTCCTCTCTTTTCTATTCCACCCCATAACTTTCAGGTCTTTCTCTTCTCCTTATTCCTCTGATATATTTGCTATTTTTTTTCTTCCTTTTGTTCTTTTAAAGCTTTGACTAAACCCCTCCTCCTCTCACCTCTATTCTCTTTCACTTTTTTTTTTATTAATTTCTCTTCTTTTCTTTCTTTCTTCCTCCTCCTCTTAACTCTCTTCTACCTTTCTTTCTCCTGCTCCTCCTATCTCTAACATTTTTTTCGTTTCTCTTCGCAGTCCTGGGTATGAAGATAAACTACATCCGGCAATAAGGCTTCTGAATGTGAGATCGGAAGTTTTGAAGAGTGTGGAACGATCTCTTATTTGCTGTTGTTCTCTGGCCCACCCTCATTCTCACCCAGGCTAATAGCTGGGTTGTGGGCAAATAATGAAACCGCAAACAGAACACTCTGAATGTATAAAAATATATATTTATAGTAAAAAAAATACCGGCAATAGATTTTTTTATAAAAAATAAATAAAAGTTACCAGCAATACTTATTTATAGTAAAATTACCAACAATACGCACATACTAACAAATTGTATCCGTTTAAAATGCAGTGCAACCTCGGTTCTCGACCGTCTCACATGTCGAACAAATCGGTTTTCGAACAGAAAATTCGAGATGAAAATGCCTCGGTTATCGAACAAAATTTCGGTTCTCGAACAACATTGCCGAGCCGAGTTAACCTGAACGGAATAATGTCTGAGACGGCCGCCATGTTGTATACATTCTTGTGTTGTGGCGTGCTTTTCTTTTCCAATTTTATTGTACTGTGACGTTGTTGTTTTTTTTTTTCTACATTGATTCCTATTGAAAAAATAGTTTCGGTTTACGAACATTTCGGGTTACGAACAGCCTTTAGGAACGAATTATTTCGTGAACCGAGGTTCCACTGTACTACCAATCAATCAACATGAACGCCTTCATGACATCACTCTATACGACTGTATTCCAAAATATAACTTCAACAAAACTACAGTATAAAGCACATATCACCGCCTCTAGTATGTCCATACAAACATGTATATGCATAAACGCTGAGACTGGAGGTCCCATGTATTTATTTGTAAGAGCAGTATAACGTATCATATTTTTATTACTTCTAAGCTCCCAAGGAAATTAAATTTCGGCACTAAATGACCCATAAGAAGTTGATGTGCCATTAAACAGAGAAATCATTCAAACAAGCTTTCTCGTAGTCCTTCTTCCTCCATTCTCCGTTCTCCTCCACTTGCATTCATTCCTTACTTTCTATATTCTCTTTTAGCCTTCTCATCCAATTTGTATTACATCGATATTATATTGTTCATTCTCTCCTTGTTACTGTTTTTCCATCTTTTCCCTTTTCTCTTATTCTCAAATCTGGTCCACTCAGCCTCTTTCTAGTTCAATTCTCCTTTCCTTCATTCCCCCTCGTTATATTTCTCTTCTTTCTCTCTACCTTTTCTTTTCCTCCAATGTTTTACTCTTTTTCTTTCTTACGTCTCCTCTTCATTTCTCTCTCGTCATTCTTCCTCGTCCTCTTATCGCTACTCCTTTTTTTCCATCTTTCAAAACCTTCAGTCTCTCTTTTATTTTCCTACATCTATTTTCTTTTTACTGTCTCTTACTCTTCGTTTCAGTATCCCCATTCTCTGTTAGTTGCTCCTCCTACTTCTGCATCGTCTCCTACTCCTCTTTTGTCAACTACTCTACCAGCGCCTCCTACTTCTGCATCGTCTCCTACTTCTATTTATATTCTCTTTATTCCTCCTCCTATCCTTATTTTCTTTTCCTTCTTCATTTCTATTGTCTCTGTTTTCTAACTCCACTTTCTTCTACCTCGATTCCTTTTCTTTTTCTCTTCCTCCCCCCCATCTATTCCTTTCCTGCTCCTCCCATTTATTCTTTTCCTCCTCCTACACTCAATTCGTTTCCTCCTCCTCTCATATATCTCTTTCCTCCTCCTCACATCTATAAGGTTCCTTCTCCTATATATTCTTTTCTTCCTCCTCCCATCTATTCTTTTCCTCCTGCTCATCCTCTCATGTATTATTTTCCTTCTTCTCCTCCCATCTATTCTTTGCTCCTACTCATCCTCTCATCTGTTAGCTTCTTCCTCCCCCTCCGATCTATTCATTTCCTCCTACTCATTCTCTCATCTATCATTTTCCTTCTCCTCCTCCTATTTATTCTTTTCCTCCGACTCATCTATAATTTTCCTCCTCTCCCTCCCATCTATTCTTTCTCCAACTCATCCTCTAATCTATTATGTTCCTCCTCCTCCTCCTCCTCCTCATCACATCTATTCTTTTCCTCCGACTCATACTCTCATCTATTATCTTCCTCCTCCTCTTCATCACATCTATTCTTTTCTTCCGACTCATCCTCTCATCTATTATCGTCCTCCTCCTCCTCCTCCCATCTATTCTTTTCCTTCGACTTATCCTCTCATCTATTAGTTTCCTCCTCCTCCTTCTCCTCCTCCTCCTCCCATCTATTCTTTTCCTTCGACTTATCCTCCCATCTATTAGTTTCCTCCTCCTCCTCCCATCTATTCTTTTCCTTCGACATCCTCTCATCTATTATTTTCCTCCTCCTCCTCCTCCTCCTCCCATCTATTCTTTTCCTCCGACATCCTCTCATCTATTATTTTCCTCCTCCTCCTCCTCTTCCTCCTCCTCCCATCTATTCTTTTCCTCCGACTCATCCTCTCATCTATTATTTTCCTTCTCCTCCTTCCATCAATTCTTTTTCTTGTCCTATGTTTATCACCTCTTTATTATAACTCCACTTCCTCATACCTCTACTCTTTTCTCTAAGCCACCCTCCTCTTATATTTGTTCTTTTTCTACTGCTTCTACTCCTATCTCTTTCTATTCTCTTTTTTCCCCCTCCTCCGCCTGTTGTTCTCTTTTCTTTTCTTCATCGTTCATCATTTATTTCTTTCTATACCCTCCTTCTATATTTCTTCTTTTGGTTGTCTGTGTCCTAATCATCTTTCTATATCACTTCTTTTTCTATTTTCTCACCCCCTCCTCCTTCGTCTTCTTAGTGCTCTGACCTTCGACATTCTCAGTAGAGTAAGTAATGGACATGTAAAATTCAAAGTTTTATTTCGATGCTTTAAAATCAATGATTTATTTACAAGAAAGCGTCCCTGATATAAATCCTTCGCTTTTGCAAATGTACAGCTCAAGGAACAGTTCTCCTAAACTATCAATAAAATGACTTACAGACTCGCAAAGGTTCCAGAATAGAGCTTTTAATGCCAACTTGGCTCTTATCATAGAGCGTCAATTTCCAGAATGCTTTCCAATGCAAAATCAAATCCCACAGTGCATTTAACAGTCATTGCTATGCATCGCCATACTTGGAGAGCATATTTCACTGTATATAATACGCATGATTATTTCCATTTTGGGGTTATGAGGAAACTATTTTGCATAATGCAGACTTGGAGATTTGTATGGCGGCCATGTTCTAATAAACTGAATGAGCTTATAAGCGATTTCCTTAGAGAAGAAGGAAAACGACATTTTTCCGAATTATATGCCATAATTTGTTATCAGTTAAACAGTAGTACGTATTATCCCAAGAATGAATAGTACATATATATATATATATATATATATATATATATATATATATATATATATATATATATATAATATGAAAATATAAAAAAATATTCTTAAAGTCATATAAATATATATGGAGAGAGAAGAAATTAATATATTAAATTATATATATATATATATATATATATATATATATATATATATATATATATATATATATAGGAATAGAGTTAGATAAATCAGACGACGGGATATAAGCAACGCGTATTAGCTTTCATACACAGCCAAACAAATAAATAATGATCAAATTTATTCATTAGGTGGTTAGACAGACCAAAGATATATATTAATAAATATACATATACCCATGATTTGGTGTGCGACTTTTAGTTTCGCTGGTTTTAGTCGCACGCCTAAACTTAGTACATGTACAAATATATATATATATATATATATATATATATATATATATATATATATATTATATATATATATATATATAATATAGTTCAATTAATTCATCGAGTCTGATAAAACCTCAACAGAATGGAAGATGGAAATACCGTTTCGTCCTATATTTGGGACTCATCAGCAGTGCGCATCACTTATTCATTAAAACCCTGATGAACAGTTAGGTTGTCAAGGAGACATCATACCAACTGTTCTAATGGGCCTCAAGTGATTTGCAATCTTTTCGTCACCGATTCTGATGAGTTGGTAAATATAAGACAACCTAAAAGAAAAACGTTCAATCTCAATAAAAAATGCCTTCTGCACAATGAGGTTTTATCAGATAAAATGAATAAATTTCAAAATATAATTATCAAATCCTCCTAATAATTACTATATATATATATATATATATATATATATATATATATATATATATATACTAAACACTAAAATTCAATCTACATTACTAACCGAGTTTCAACCGTAAGGTCTCCTCAGGCAAGTAGAAAAATGAACAATTCTGTGAATTCCACCACTACATATGAACACTGGAAAACAGAAAGAATGGTGAAAGGTAGGGGTGGGGACAGAAAAATAAAACAAGAAGTGGGAGGAAAACATTTTATTAATTACATTGATCCGGGTTCGTATATACCCAAAAGATACTTGCTCAAATGCCTGCATTGAGATGAAATCTCAGATCTTTCATTAAGCAGCACATCCTTGTTAGGATTATGTAGCGATAGTCAACTTCTCGTCTTGACACAGTCGGACACAGTACCCACGGACTCTGCCCGGGTTTACCTTCAATAATACTTTCTTATACTCCATCATTATAATTATACTCCACTTTATACATGAATTTCTGCCATTTATTTATTTCAACCCCCAAATGCAATCCACACACACACACACACACACACACACACACACATATATATATATATATATATATATATATATGAATATGTATTACCAATTTCTAATTGATAGGGATAATTCTAAGGCGGATAATAAGGGAGAGCTGCATGTAGACTACAGAGCATAATAATAATAACTAGCAGTAGAGCCCGGCGTTGCCCGGGGATGTAACAGTAAGAGATAGATCAAGTATCGACCATCATAAAGACTGAAAAACAAAATTGACAAAGATTATTGTTTAAGGTTGACGGACACGCATGTCTTAATTATTTTGTTTTTTTTTTGTTTTTTTTTTACGAATTGGTCAAACCCAAACTCAAACAAAAGCATTGTTTTCAATCGTTATGAGTCTATCCATTGAATACAATTTTATTATAAACAATTGTCTTGTAAATGGAATTTTTAAAGCATTCTGAATGTAAAAATAAAGAAAAAAAGTGTGCAAGACAATAAAAAACACTACCTGCCAAAAACGAAGTTTTGTTGAAATCGGTTGAAAAATGTAGGAAATCCGATCCCATATATAAACGAACGCACACACACACACACAAACAACCTGGGTGTTATAATAAGTATAACTCGATATGAGTTGTCCCCCTTTCATCCTGGCGACAGAATCGTGTTTTATCGTGCTTTCAAATTGATTTCGTGCAAAAACAATTGTGTTTTTCCAATTTTTGGCGCTATCAGAATCACCGGAAGGTAATTTTACGCAGTCCTGTGAAGGTTTGTTGAAATCGGTTGAAAAATGTAGGAAATCCGATCCCATATATAAATGAACACACACACACACACACACACACACACACACACACAATCTGCGTTTTATAATAAGTGAGATAATAATAATAATAAGAAGAAGAATGAAGAAGAAGAAAATCTTAAGGATTCATTCCAGCTATAATTTATTTCGTGTATATCTCTATATATGTCCGAAATCTCTTAATAAAATGCTAAGATATTTTACTAAGAGATTTCACAGTACTTTTTGAGTATGTTCTTTTTGAGTAGAAAGAAATAAAGAGAAAAAGTTAGTGTTAAAAATTGTAATGATTTTCTTATTAATATTAAATAATAATAATAATAATAATAATAATAATAATAATTAATTATTAATACAATAATATTACATTGTAATTATTTTCTTAATAACATTAAATAAGTATTATTAATTATTCATAAATCTTATCAATATAATAATAATAAATTGTAATTGTAATTATTTTTTAAAAACTTTTTTTCATTTTGTCGTTAAATGTTTCGTTTACTATAGTTTGGGCGTAACTTTTTATTATATTTGTGGAGAGAAACATGAAGAATATCCAGAGATCACATAAAGAAAAGCGGCGGATGATTAAATAGATGGCTAAGCAATGAAGAAATTAGAAAATGTACAAGAATAAATAAGAAGAGAGGAGACGCGATAAAGAAAAAAAACTGAACTTTAGACAGCTAATTTAAAGTAAGTTGACGACAGAGAAAGAGAAAAAAAACGATCAAGAAAGGGTTATGACAAATGAGAGCTTGTCATCTAATTCACCTAAATAAAACCTTTTTCAGAACTTTGACTGTTCTAAGATTTTTTAATTATGGCTACTCCGCTACTATTTCGTTTAGTCAAATAAGGAGACTTCATGTTTAAATGAATTCCAGAAAATGAGAAAAAAATTACATCATATTGATTTTTCGGACCAGTTTTCAATTTTTTGTCTTCTTCATCTTAACTTATCGAGCATTGTAGCACCAAGATTTTCACTCATACGACTTAGCCGACAAGTATAAACTAAACACATGAATGGATTTATGAATTGTACTTTGCAGTTTTGGTGTTCTTTCTTCCTTTTTTCTTCTTTTCCAAGTCTTTTTTCGTCTTCTTTTTCCTTTCATTTTTCGTCTTCTTTTTCCATTCGTTTTTCTTCTTTTTTTTCCATTTGTTTTTTCTTCTTTTTTATTTATTTTCCTTCCTCTTTTAACATTTTTTTTTACTTATTCTTTTTCCATTTTATTTTTCTTCTTTTTCTTTCCATTTATTTTTCTGCCATTTGTTTTAATTCCTTTTCTATTTCTTTTTCTTCTTCTTTTGCCATTTTTTCTACTTTTTCACATTTTCTTTTTCTTTCCATTTTTTTCCTTTTTTCTACTTGTTGTCCTTCTTGTTTTTTCTGTTCGTTTTTTCTTCTTTGTCTTTCCATTTTTCCTCATTTTCCTTCCATTTATTCTTCTTTCCAGTTTTTCTTCCTTTCGTATTTGATTTCTTTCTTCATTTTTCATTTGTTTTTTCTTTCCTTTATCATTTATTCTTCTTCTTTATCTTTCCATTTGCTTTTCATCTTTTTTTTCTATTTTTTCTTTTTTCCATTTTTTCTTTCCATTTGTTTTTCTTCTTTTTCTTTCCATTTGTTTTTTATTTCTCCTTTTTCCATTTGCTTTTCGTCTTTCTCCTTCCATTTATTTTCTTCTATTTTTTTTTCCATTTGCCTTTCTTCTTCCCGTTTGTTTTTTACCTTTTCAATTTGTTTTCTTTCCCCTATTACTATTTTTTTTGTCTTCATCTTTCCATTCGTTTTTCGTTTTCTTCTTCTCCTCGTATGTTGTTGTTGTTGTTGTTGTTCTTCTTCTTCTTCTTCTTTCTTTCTTTCTTTCTTTCTTTCTTTCTTTCTACTTTTTCTTTCCGTTTCTTCTTCTAATTCATCTGTTCCTTTTTCTCCTTTCTTTTTCTTTTTTCTTCACTCCTTTCATTGCTTTCCTTTGTCTATCCGTATCCCTTTCTTCTTTCCGTTTCTTCTTCTTCTTCTTCTTCTTCATCTTCTTCTTCTTCTTCTTTCTGTTATTAGGCCTTGATATCCTCTGCGATGGCTAGATATTTTGGCTGATCCCTTTTCATCGTTGAGCAGCTCCGAATGTTGAAGTTGCGTGCCCCCAAAATACTTTTTATCTCTCTCCTCGTTGCATGGCCCAGAAGAGTGTTTATCCCTTTCATTGTTTAGTTGCATAGAATGGTGTTTATCCCTGTTTCTATTACCTGCCCCAGAATGGTGTT